TGCTAGACAAAAACTATATAGTAAGCTAGAATTTGTTAAAATAAATTAAAGTAGCAAAAACACTAAAATTAAATAAACATTTAATATAATGAATTGTCCAAGTTATTTAAAATATAAATATATAGATAAAATACGAGCACTCAAAGTTTCATAAAATATTCTCTCATTCTTTTTTTTTTTAAACATGCAATAACACATGTTATATTTTATTGCTGTTATATTTTTTTGTTTTATGCATTAATTTTGTTCTTTTATTTTTTTATTAATATATTTTTATTTTTGATACTTATCTTGAAATCATTATTAGTAGCAGGAATTGGAGATACGCAGATTCTTGATTCATCGATTGCTGGTAAAGGAGAAAAAAGAAAATAAGAGTTAGTGTTTAATGATTTAGTAGAAATTTAGAGAAAGCTGTTAAATAATACAAATAATAATCTAATGCATAATATAAAATATTATGTATGTTATTTAAAAAAAATATATATTGAATTTGATATTTCACGAATGTTAAATCTTTATTAAATACTTATCTTCTTTTGTTTTTTAATCAAATAAATTAATATGAATAAAGTATGAAAGTTGCTGTTTTTACATTATAGAAACAATTTACATTAATTTTCTTATTGTAGGGCTTTATGTATAACTTTTATTTATTTTTTTTTTTTATGTAATCCAAAATCGAGAAATCAAATTCACGCAAAAGAAAATGCATAAAACATTTTTTTACTCAACGATGTAGATCGAACAGTCAAAATGATTGCAATTTACACGATTTATGTGAAGAAATACATAAAATTAGATTGTTTTGTAATTTATGTCGAATTTAGAAATAATGTGCAATTTTTTCTAATTCACGCAATATCGCCGATAATAGGTTTCACGACCGTAACGTCATCGATAGAAACTACGAGGAAATCGCACAACACGGTTTTCCGATAAAAATCTGAGAACTCGGCCGCACCGGTACAACGGATGCGTGCTAAAGATTTCATGTGCATCGTATCGCATTACGATAGCTCCACGCCATAAAGAACAAGAGCGGCCCCGCTGTCGCATTGTATTGTATGCGCATTGTTGCATACCGTACGCTGCGTTTACGGCCCCCCATGGAATACCCCACCGCTTTCTCTGGCGAATCTACATTTATTGCCACCTAAATAAAGTCCCGTGGCATAAATTCCTCGTTATATAGCGTACCGGTCCAACGACTCGCACAAATAAAACGAATCTAAATATATCCAAAGTGTGAGGTGCGCTTCGCGTTTCTTTTTATTCGTTTTATCGCTCGTACCTGTGTAAAACGACTGAACGAAAGACGGAGCTTAAATCGACGTATTCTCGAACAATGTAAATGAGGCAACATGAAATATAAAAAAATGTTTACCCGATACGCGTACGACTATGTTGTCGCGGGAACGTTGTTACGCGTATTTATAAACTTCATGAAAAATGAACGAATTGAAAAAGAATTTATTTTGCATTGATAATTATACAAAGAATCAAGTATCTTATACATCACAGAAAAGAAGTTGTTTGCGTTATTTATTTTAATCTATTTATTTTATTATATGCTCTCTTTTTACGCAAACACTCTTTGGAAATTTTACTACATAATCGTTAATCATGATACATATAATGCACTTTGCCGAGCACTGCAACGTAATTTTACCTTAGGAAATTGCAGACGCGAATTCACAGGAAAATTTATTTTACTCGATTATGGCAACGTCTTATGTAACGTTATACCTATGTATCTACGACGCACGATTCTCGTTACCGACCCTTCTCTTGCTCTATCCTTCAGATACTCAACGACCCTTTCAACCCCTTCAATTTTCTTCTCCCTTCAACTCGTTCTCATCCATTCTGCTCTCGACACTGTTGTTTCCCAGAGATGGCGAAAAATCGACAGAACTACTAATTGGTTCTGTCAATCTAGATGAGAAAAGGAAGCGGGACATCCAGGTGGGTACCGTGAGTTCTGTTGGAAATGCCAAAGCGCGGCTCATGTCGACCGGAAAGGTTTGTTACGCGATGAACATTGTTCTGGAATTTCCATTAAAACAGCGCTAGTGTTCCTTTTTTTCTTGTCAATTAGTAGTGTAATATTAATAGTGGAAATGCTACAATAGTTTTATATATTTTTTTAATGTAATATATTTTTAATTATAAACCATTTTTAATCAAGACAAGATTAATCTCTTGCAAGTTAAGATGTAATATATATCTTCAAAATTTTCTTATTTTTCTAATATGTATATTATACGGTAGAAAACATTTTTTATTTTTTTCCATTGCTACAATTTTTTAAATGTTTGATCTTTTTACGATAAATTCAAGTTTTATTTTTTTTAATAAAGAATATTAAATTAAAAATAATAAAGACACAACTAAATAATAATAGAGTATATTATCACATTCAATAGAACGTATTGCAAAAAATTAATTAAATATAAAATATAGCACAGAAAAAAATGTATAACTGATGTATAAATAATTCATAAAAAGAGAAGAAAGAGAGAAAGAAAGAGAAAAAAAAGACCAAAAAGTGAATGGTTAGATACATTATTAAAATTATTAAAATATTGTATAAAATAATCTCTTTTAATTTTTGATATGTGTAGTAATATGAAATGTAATAATATACTTTATGTGTGCCATTTCTAATTTTCGCATATCCAATATAAATAATTTACAAACAAATGATATTTTGCTGAAGTAATTTCGAAAATGGAATAATAATATTTAATATGAAATTTATCAGAAAATGGATAAATGAATTAATTAATTGAGAGACTCGTGATACACAATCCAAAGCCTGTTTTCATAAATTATATTTAATATTAAAATATGTGTGTAAATGTTCTCAATTCTTTATTAATAAACAGACGATAAAGATAGCAATTTTGATCATTGGAACTTTAATAATATGTATATTATAATGAATGGAAAACAGTGAAAGGTTTGAATATACAAAGAATATAGAGACATATCAGAGAATAATTTTGATTTTATTATTTAGCGCTAAATAATGCCATGTACAACACCGCTCATCAAAATTTCTGATACACGGCAAATACATAGAATACAAAGACGAGTTTTTGTTTCATTTACCAGTTTACCACGACGACTAACAGCTGTTCATGTGGCATCTATTACGATGCTTATTTATACCGCGACCTTATTAACGCAAATCGCAACCGTTGTTTCAAACAAACCTTATTTTTATTCATTTATATGTGCAAAATTTGTTTACATTTATAATAGTAAAAATAATAAGTATTGCATCATTTAAAAAAGATAATTCTAATTTTGGGACTTTATATTATAAAGTCCCAAAATTTCAAATATAAAATATAGAATTTACATTTGCTCTTTAAATTACGCAGAAGATGAGAAGCTCAAAATGCAAACATGTATAGATACTAGTGTATAAAGATGCTCCTAATAATGTTAAATATTTAAAAATTTAAAGAATTAACAACTCAAATCTCGAATAGAAAAAGTGATAGGAATGTCATAAAATGTGACTTTTGAATCTATATATTTAGAATTTTAAAAAACCTAGACATCACAATTAATTTCAAAATTAAAATTAGATATAAATTAAAAATACACAAGAGATCTTAAACTCCTTATCTGGAATTTTTAAATTTGAAAAGCTATAAAGATAATGATGTATAAAACCGATCATCTAAAATGATTCAATAATCCAAATTGTATTAATGAGATATAAAAGTAAGGCTCTTACAACTTAAAATCAAACTCCGAATAAAAAGGCAAAAGAGCCACGCGCAGTTTTTTGGGCGCAAAGGTATATAATTTAAACCAAGAAATAAATTTTGACTGGTAAAATGAATAAACTTTGACTATATATATATATATATATATATATATATATATATTAAGATCATCAAGATAGTAACGGTGACGCAATTGTTGTCTATTAAAAATATGTTTGCAAAGAAATCTCTAACATTGAATGTTCATATAATAAGTATTCGAACGGCTGCAGAGTTCTTAATATCAGAATGCATTACAGCATCACTAGAATCTTTTGGTTTATTAGTATTAATATTAATATTATACTCGCAGAAATCACTATCTATTGTGGCTTAAATATATACAAATTCGCATATTTATATATATACATATATGTTATTTATAGTGTTGGTATAAGAAACAAAAAAAAATATAGTAAAGTGTCGCATAGACTCGTGAAATTAGCAGATGTCAAAAGAAACTACTCGGTTTAACTGTTTCGTGCATAAATCAGTAAATTTATTATTATCTTATTTGCTAAATAATTCCCTAATTTTTGATTCAATATTAAAGATATATTTGCAACAATATATGCACGATCCAAATAATTTTTCGTATACGTTTATTGCGTAATTCATCTAGATTATGATGTTTTTAACATCTAGGATATGTAATAATTAATTTATATTTTATTGAAGAATTGATTAATCAATATATGATATCACCAAGCGTCAAAAACTTTCAGATTCACTGTAATCGAAGAATTGATACAAGAATCGGTCGTCTCGCATAGATAAAATCATTTTATAAGAGTAATTAGCATTAATAATTAATACAAACATAAGAATATAATTTATAACAGTAATATACTTATATTTCATTATCTATTTTATAATTTTTATTTATTTAAAATTAATAAAAGAGCAATATCTAAATCATGAAATTATGTTAGTTGATCGATCCTTCGATTGCAATAAAGATTTCATGCGTCGATATGCAGTGCGTACGTCGATGATTTGACACAACTTTATAAGCAGCGACACCATTATCTTAGAAGCGTCAACAAGTATATCGATAATCATCCAATTGTAAGTCTTAATCCGTTGATATAAAATATTTTATTCTCACACAAACGGCAGTATATAAATTAATTTATCCATTGAAATATATAAAAATACAAAAAATTACTCTAACATTTATGTTTTCTTTAAATAAAACAATAAAAATATATATAATACAATTATATATTTGCTTTTGAATTTATAATAAAAGATCTTTTAAAAATATGCAAGGATCCCGAAATATATTGCATATAATACAGTATCCCTCCAGAGAACCGCTTCTGCACAAAAGATGAGCGAATCGTTTTTATCGTCCGACATTGCGGATTTATCTGACGCTCGGTCTGTCGCCTGGTGATACTTTTACGGAAAGAACTGACTGAACCGGATGTCATTTCGCGCACACGTAAATGTCGGATGCGCGAACGTGACAACGGTAGCGACTGGCTAATCGCACGTAGTTTTCAGTCCGAGCGCACATGTCACATTTCAAATTTCTCTCCCTTTCTCTCTTTTTCTCTTTCTCTCTTACTAAGTCCGCCAAAACAAACGGATGACCAACAAGAATGTTACACGCAGCTTTCTCGAGGATCATCCAGAGGATACGCCACCATCGCGCGAATGCTCCCTCGCACATATAGTTCTTCCCGTCCCTTGCCTTTCACACAAACTCATTGCACTTCACAGACGAAGAAAGTCTCGAAGCTGCAGGGACTGTCGTTCCATTTGAGACCTTTGCCGTCCCTGTTCCAGAGCTCCAGGCAATGCTCCTCTTCGCCATTCTCGTATCTGAACGTGGGATAGAGTAAGAGTGTTAGATAAAGTTCGTACAATATTTTTTTTGCCGAGTCATAAGAAATAAACCATCTAATAATATATATTGTATTGATTCTGGCTAACAATAAAAACTAAAAGAAATGCATCTCCTTAAAAATTATTTAAAAAATTTGTTAATATTTCAAAATTTAAATTTTTCTCTTCGGATGTAAAATCCGTAATTTTAATAGTTTTAAATGCGCATGCTTGCATATATCGTGGAATATGATTAAAATATTTTCTTTTTATTATATATTTTCATTAAAAAAAACACAATAAAAATTTTATATTATATAAATACGAACACAATCATAGATTAGAAAATAAACATTATTAATAAAAGAAAAATCATTCTCTCTTAATGTGAATAAAAATCGAATAAAATTTTCTCATGAATAAAAAGCAGTTTCGAACTTCTCCCCGAACACTTTAGATCTAAGCTTTTTCATTGCTTTTTATTACTTTTTCTTTAAGACTGTCATAGACCTTTTCCTTAAGACTAGCATCACAAAAAAAATTTTAATGCAACACTATTTAAATTGTCCCAGTTCATTTATAATGACATAGATATTCGCTAGTTGCTTATTGCAATATTTTATAACGTTTAAGAAAAATCCAATAGTGATAGTACGGTGCGCGAAGTTATATTTCGGTATTTTAATATCACGTATCATGCGCGCGCCACATATCGATTATCGTAGGTAACTTAGGTCATATACGTTGTATTATGTGTTTTTTACGACGCCGGCACATTGCAGAAGCGCGAGTATCGCTGGTTTTGCAGGGAAATAGTCCTTTACGAGTATTAAAAACTTCCTGACAGAACGGAATCGTATAGTAGCATTCTCACTTGGCCACTGCGATTATTTAAGTGCAAAGTTGCCATCCCTCATCACGTACTTACCGCGCATCGATTCTCAAATATTTAGAGAATTTTTAATAAAACTATATATATATATATATATATATTTCTTTGCGATAATAACTGATCATATACAAAATTACGCGATAAAAAGTCGCAGAATGCAGTTCAAGTTATGCAGCTATTTGAGATCCTCGAAGTTTCTTATCTGTATAATTAGAACGCGAAACGCACGTGTACCGAGAGACTAGATTATCCGCTTGAAATTCCGTGAGAACAACAATGCGGCTTATGAAACGCGTTTATGCAGCAACTACACCATGCATTCTACTAGATATATAGCGAGCGACTTTTCATCTCCTGGATCTTTTGATAACTTCGCAAATCATCATATTGTTTCAGATAAAAATTCACAATAATATTATTATGTTAATTAACTCAAACTAACCGCGACTATTATAGTTCACATACACTTTGCACACAATTATTATTAATCAAACAATTATTTCATTATTTTAGAGAAATATTATAAAATAAATTAATATTTGATTACAAAATGTTTTTACTGTGATCGAATAAAATATTTATTTTTACAAATACATAGAACATTTAGATAAAATAATTATTCAGCAACTCAGAGAGAAATTTATATATTTTTCACATTTTATGAAACTTTCCGCTAATTAATCTTTACCTTAAATACTGTGTTAAAAATTTGAATTAACATCGTTAGCAATTAACATTGTCAACAGTTAATAAGTTTGTGTAAATTATTTGTATTTTAATTGTTAATCTCCATATTTAATATAATTCGAAATAAAAGTTGCTGTTAATTCCATATACTAGGTAGACTTATATATAATTTATTATTAGTTTGATTCAATAAATCTAAAATTGATAAAAAAAATTTGTATTTGTAAAAAATATATAATTAATTTATTTTTAAAAGATTTCTAATAAAATCTTTATATATGCTCTTTTTTGTAATATTTATTGCCATCATGATTATAATACTTTTATTTCAATTTTGTTATATTTAATCTCAAAATTATCATTACATATAACAATTTGTTTTTGCAACGTTTTCTAATTATTATTTGTTATAATGATATTCGTTTTATTTATTGTAACATGTACTATGTATATATCTTCCGCTTAATCGTTCAAACAAAATTTATTCAAGAACATAGTAAATATTGCCTTTCGTACTTTATCCACGTCAATGGTGCTGAATTTCGCCGTTGCTCTCTTGATGCTCTTTCGACGATTTGGCCGACAGCACTTACACAGAACAGAGAAAAAGGAACGAGAAGAACGCGAAAAATCGCATGTAACCCGTCGGGAATGCAAATAAAGCGCAATAAATAGAGTATTGTCGCGATTGCACCGTAGTTGCATTCTCTCTCCGCACACATCGACATGAAACCATCGTTACTCGTGCATGACGAAGTCGGTTCATGTTTCTTAAACGAAACAGCAATAGTATGTAACAATCAATGGCATGTTATAGATGTTTCGAAGTCTAAGAAATCTGTATACATGCTTCATAATACAAAATGCATACTGTGACGAAAGAAGATGAGAATCTAATAATTAAAAATAAAGAAACATATCTTGCGTAAATTATAGTACATTTTTTCTATTAAGGAAAAGCAAGAGAAATTTGAAATTAATATTACGATATGTTTCTGTAAAAGAAATATAATTGTCAATTATTGATTAAAGTTAGAAATTCTACAAGGTTCAATAATAATTTTCTATGTTTTCATATTTTTTATTACATTTCCTTTTTTTTTTGTAATAAATAAAGTTCTAATTCTTTCTTGTTTGTAAACGTAAAAACCCAAGTGCAAAAATGGAAGATGCGTTAACTTCCCTACGTAAATTTATCTTAAATAAATTTTCCAGTAGTAATGAGGAAGCCAACATTCTCTACCGTTAAAAAAACCCAGAAAATTCGCTATCTTTCGTCAATTTAATCGAGAAGTCGGTTACTGCAAGGGTATAGTTGTTCTGCAAGATTTCAATTAACAGCCGGGGTGTTGGCCATTATTTATTTGGAAACAAAGAGGGCTCGTTCTCGATGTGATCCAATTAAAATAGCTGATTAAGAGAGAAAGAGAGATGCCACTTGCTCTCTTCCCCCTGCTTTTATTGTCTGAGAAGCCCGTTAAAAGGAGCGTCTTTACGCCACTCACTTTCAGCAAGATCGCAGTAAAGCCGGATTCGTACCGGTGGAATTGCGAAATCCATGTTAATAGCGTGCGTGAGTCAATAAAAACGCTCTGATTATCCGAGAAGCCATAATAAAGGTGAACCTAATCGATACGATTGTGTTCGCGTATGAAAGGATATGCATTAAACATGTCAGAACCAGGAATGTCGTTCTGAAAGACTCGTGTGATATCATGCATTATTGTAATCATCGAGATTTTATACGCCTCCATGCTACCGCAAATTTTATAAAAAAACTTAAAAAATAAATTACAATTAAAAGTTAAACATAAATAGAATTAATTACTGTCTCTGTCTCTGTAAAAGTTCGTAATTAATATCACTTAACATTAGAGATTAAAGAAGAACTTTGTGGGAACATCAAGTTGAAAAAAGAATGTTAAACATGTTATATATAACTAGAAAATTTCTTCATAACAGTAAGTTTGACGTTTAAAATCTGAAACCGCTTTTGATAGGAACTCCTTCAATTTTCTTTTACGTGCCACATACGTCGTTTTTTTTTACGACGTGTTTCATTCTCTTTCTCTTATCACGCAAGCTTCTTTGCTGTATCGTAACCAACACAGGGTCACTGTTATCCGGAAAGACCTTTACTAGGCTGGTTCCCGGCATTCGATGCACCGTAAAACCGTCCGTGACGGCAAAGCCGGAAAGTTACGACCTCGGAAATAATTTGATAAAGTCCGAGAAGGAAAGAGAGAGAAAGAGAGAGAGAGAGGGAGTCGGGTCGACGGTTCGGCCAGATAAATCAGCGTAACTGGCAGGAGCGATACCTTGAAGAAGATCCCCAGATAGTACCTCTTCTCGCCCAGCTTCAGCAGGGGCATCGTCCATCTTGAAGCCGCCAAGCTACCGGTATGCTCGTCCACACAATTTGGACAGTCGTCTGCAAAGAAAATGAAAAGGCTATTAATATTGATACTTTTCTTTAAGCAGAGTGGATGATAAAAGAGAAGTAAAGTACTTTCGCCTATATATATATGTTACACAACAATATAACAATACGAATAATAAACTCACAAATTTGCACAGAAATCGTATATACATACGTTTGAAATAAAGAGTTAGAATGCAAGAAAAAATACATCCTTTCCGTCAAATATTGATATTAAAAAAGAAAAACGTTTGCAAAAATTTTTCAGATGCAAGAAGGTTAATACATAAAAATAATTTAATACTAACGCGCGCTAATTTATTTTAATAAAATAACAGTTTGCAAAACAATGTTTTTTATAAATATATA